CAGCTCCGGCAGAGCTGAAGCCGGCCTGAGGACGAGGACGGAGTGCCCGTTGCAGCCTGCGGCCGCCCAGGCTTCAGGGTGCTCCCTGAGATGGAGGGCAGGAGCGAGCGCGTCTGCGGGAGGTGCGACCTGGTGGCCAAGCTGCAGGGGGAGGTGGGCAGGCTGAGGAGCATCGGAGAGTCCAAGGAGGAGATGGACCCGTGGAGCTGTGCCTTGCCATCTCTGGTGCTCACAGGCCAGCCCGGTGTGGCCACTGCAGAGGGAGGTCCAAGATCTGTTTTGTGGCAGGAGGAAGGCAGCGTTATGGGGGACAGAGAGGGGTGGAAGCAAGTTACTGCATGGAGCTGCAAGAGGAACCCTCTCGGCGACCTGTACACAATAGGTGCGAGGTTCTGGGTGTCGTGGACAAAGCGCATGATGAGATGGGAAAGGAGGAACCTCTGTAAGCACCCTCACCAAAGGCACTTCAACCAACACCTCACAGCAAGACCTGCAGTGAGACCGGCGCTGCAAAGAAACAAAGGCAAGTTACGGTCATCGGTGACTCCCTCCGGAGCAGAACAGAGGTGCCCATTTGCAGACCAGACCCTCTTTTCAGGGAAGTTTGCTCCCTCTCTGGGGTCCCTGTCAGGGATGCCACCAGGTGACAGATGAGCTTTGTACAACCTTCGGACTGTTGCCTGCTCCTGATCTTTCCTGTGGGTACTAATGATGTTGCAACCAGAAGCACAAGGTCGATCAGAAGAGATTTCAGGGCTCCATGAAGACTGCTAAAAGGTTCAGGAGCACAGGTAGTGTTTTCCTCAATCCTCCTAGTAATGGGGAGAGAACTTGGAAGAAACAGGCATGCCCAAGATATCAATACCTGGCTCCAGGACTGGAACCTGTGCCAGAACTTTGTTTTTTATTATCATGGAAGAGTCTTCGAAACATAAGTTATGCTAGGGCCTGATGGGTTCCACCTGTCCCGATGACAAAAATGTGTCTTAGCTGGTAAGCTGGCAGGACTGATTGAGAGGGCGGTAAACTGGTACATCTGTGGCTTAATACCCGAGTATCACCTGTGGTCTTAGTGGTTCTTCATGCCACCCTGAGGTCTGTTTCCAACAACAAACCAATCATACAGTTTCAAAGAAGGTGTGCTTGCTGCACCCACAGTCATGCTGCCGCTGCGGTGTGGACATGCCCCAGCACCCACTCCGTTCTGAAAAGATGCTTGTGACTCATCAGTGTGTCCCACTGGAGCTGGTTGGGTAGGAAGATAGAAGGGAAATGGCTTACAGGAAAGAAACAAATTTCAGAGCTTTGATAAACTGATTTGAATTTGTCACACTTATGAGGGTTTTGAAATGTTTTTTAGAACTACCTAATCTCTCTAGCAACAGCGCTTTCAAACTTTGAAGTTAATGCTGGGCATGTGTGTTCACATTAGCATTTCTACACTGAAAAAGAGTAAATTTACATTTTAAATTGATTTGCAGGGATCATTTTAGGTATGAACTGAAACCAGTAACCAATAATCTGTAGTAAGTGGCAAAAATGAATGTAAGTCTTTGATCTCTACAGAGTGCAGGAAAACCTCAGCTGACCAAAGTGCATTGAATAGAACATGTAATTTTCTGCTGTAAAATATGGGACTTCTGGAGGTGTGAAGAAAATGCATGGTCAAGAAATTTAAGGTGTTTTTGCCCCAATAAATTAGAAATCAAATAAGTAAGGGAGTAGAAAAGGATTTCTTCCTTTTTGTTCTGTGTACGGACAGTGTATCATTCACCTGTGCTCACATAAGGCAATGCAAAGGATAAACAACTGTAGGTAAACTTGACTTGGCTGTACTTGATATCACAACCCAAATAAATGATGAGAAGTCAATCAAGTATTTTTAGTAACAAAACTGAACAGAAAATCTATGATAGTCCTTCAGAGTTTAGCCTCAGGCTAAACCTGCATGTTCTTGTTACGAGGTTTGAAATCTCAGCTTGTTAGACCGCAATTAAGCGAAATTTTCAGAGGGATCATTACTATAACCAGTAGAGGATTGCAGCAGAATGAGGTTTGAGGTACATATATCTAATAACACCACAGACGTTGGAACAGCAACTGACAGCACTAACAAGCAAGTTAATAGAGCTGGTGTTCACCAAGTTGGGCTGTGGTTGAGTAAAAGTCAAAGGCATTTGCACATGTATGAAAGTTGCTAAAGCACTGGGACTCTGTAGTAGGCTAGCTTAGTGGGGAACTTCTTTTCCTCCTCTTGAGAGAAACAACGGATCTCAAATGCTGCAAGTATGCATCTTCATCTGATTGCAATATGGGTAGTGAGACAGGAAATTTTAAGTAGATGAATGGAATTTTTGACAGGTTTGAAAAGATGTTAAATTTTGTTCTGGAAGATACGAAACAGACTATAGAGCCGAACATAAGGAGAGCACATCTGCTGTGTGCTGCACCTATAAATAGAAAATATAGAAAAGTTACTTCAAATTTCAGCCAAAACAGTGGTTGCTTCTCACCCACTCTAGGAAATGGGTGCCGCAAAGTGAAACACCCAAAGCTTGGGAATAATGGGTTCTGTGCCACAGTTTGCTTCCTTCTGGCCTGTTACACTGTTTGAAAGGAGTTTAGCTGTTGAATGAAAACAGAGAAGGAATAGAGGACATGCAGGTTGAAATGTGGCAGTGAGGAGTCCTAATGCAAAATCCAAAGAGCGCATGTTTCTAAAATGAAACAGTATGGCCTTGATAGTGTAAGAACAGAGGAATTGCTTGGGCGCGTATTTTAAAAATAACTTTTTTTTAAAAACTGCAGTCTATGAAGAGTAATTCTGGCAAGCAGAGAAGGCAGGTGAAAACAGGTTCAGGTTCACTGTAGTGATGCTGTGAGATATAATATGAAGACACTGAGAAATGCTAGTGAAGTTGTCTTAGAAATCCATTTAAATCAATGCTATTAAAGTTGATGTGACAAAGCTGCTTTTTAGGGCACTTGTAAAGACCTACTTGTCTCTTTTTGTAGGACTACGAGCCACCAGTTCTGTTGGTCTTATGATGCACCAGAGTGTAAATGTTGTGTAAAACCTGAGGTGAAATAACACATTTTATGGGAATAAAAATTATTCAAGAGGTTGGAGACAGTTAAATGCAAACTAGAATCACAGGTCAAAAGGAGTGTATGGTCACAGGTGTGCAGTCAGTCCTTTCTTACTGTCTGAGTTCCAAGGTCTTGCTATTATTGCATAGCTTGTGGTTTAAAACGCTGTGCTGGTGAAGGGACCGGGAGCTGACATTCCTCAACGTGCTGAACACCTAAATACACTTCTCAGTCAGTTCTTTTCCAAACCCAGAAATGCTAGACTGGGATATTTCTTGCTTTAAACGAAGTATGACCTGTTCGTACCAGGTTTAGTGGCATCGAGGCACTGTAAAATGAGGATACCAGGCTGTGATTCACAGGAATACAGTGAACAAGTTATTTGTTAGGTCACCCATTCTTAGAACTTCTGAAGATGAAGCAGCTTTGCTGGTGTATCTGCCTTGTCTGCCTAATTAACATGTCTACTGGCCTTTGACTGTAAATGTGTAGTTCATCAATCTTGCTTATTTCCCAAGGATATATGTCCAGAAATGTACAGTGTCAAAGATGAAATATTTGCAGTCCATCTCCTGATAAGCAAAACAAGCACTGCTTTCTACAAAAGATCAGGGCCAAAAAGCCCTTGATGCTTCAATCACATGTGCATTCCCTGAAGCTGAGTCAAGACACAGTATCAAATGTTATGAACCACAGTCAAGTGTTTTGCTTAATTCTTTTATCTGATCATTCTTGTTCTTAACACTATTAGTCATTGGTGTTCCTGTTGTGTTTGTTTTAACTCCATCGGGTATCTTACAGTAAATGGTATGAATTAAAGAACACCCAATGTATTGATGGCTTCTTTGTAAATGAATTCTTCAAGTCCCTAAGGCAACCTTATTGTCTGAAATACATGTTCAAAAGTATATTTAGTGCAGTAAAAGTAATTTCATTAGTTCTGAGAAATCCTGTTGTTTTCATCTACTTTGATTGTTCAAAATTGAGAGCAACTAGTTCTCATTTTGAATTGCTCCAAAGGTTTCACATTGATACCATATGTTACCCAGTTGTCTGTAATAAGTAGGGTAAAGAAAGGTTCAATGCTAATAATTTTTGCACAATGCTATAGTCAGTATTAGAACATTAGTTTCAAAGTTAACCTTGGCATGGTCACTGTACACAGTCCCAGGATCATTTACCAGAATGGAGGGTCTCTGTGTAGATGACAGAAGTAATCACGCCATGGCATGGCAGAGCTCTGCAGAAGCTGGTTTAGTCTGTTCCTCAGCACTGTGATACAGAGCAGACATCAGCTCTAGAAAGACTTAATGGCTTAAGATCATTAAACAACCTAATATTCAGATTAATTTAATTAGTTGGTATCAGCCCCCTACATTCTGAACTGATTTGTTTGTGCACACTTAATGCTTTTCCCCAGTTACTACTTAGTGTAAGCAATAAAACATGTGAGACTGGAAACCTATTTTGTTTTTATTTCTCCTGTTGCTAGGCTTCCAGAGCTGAAAGGTCACCAAACTGGAGCTTATTTACAGAGTCACTCTGGTAATAGGGTCTTTGGTGGTGTTTAGGTATTCTTTAGAGATGGGAAGGAAGACTCTTTCTCCTAGTAGTAAGAGTGCTCTTACAAATCTGTACTATGTGTATAGTTCGCTGGATTTATCGTCATGGCTCTGATTTCTCAAGCAGTGTATGAGAGATCTGTCATGCTACCTTCTGTGTCAGCTTTCTTAGGCTATGTCTGAAACAGAAGCAATCTTAAATATACTGCTTTTGTTGCTACTTTTTTCAGGTATCTTGTTGTACCAGTAACAGCGTTAGCAGCCTGATTCTTTGCTTTTTTGTTTTGTTTGCATGTACCAAGCCTTTCCTAGGGCAATGTGTTTCTGGGGAGGAGAAAATAGACTTCAGACAGAGCTTTCCCAACTTTTAATAGTGGGAATGGCAGCCGCTGGATAGTTGCTCTTGGTAGGTGGCCACACTTGCCATGACAACACAGTCTGAGAAATATGGTTTTAATAATGGCACCAGGAATTAGGTGTTTTATATAGCAGCATCCACAGTGCACCCAATTTCACTCTATTTCTTCTTATTCTGCTTTTGAGGTGCAGTCTTTTTAAGATCTTGAGATAACAAAACTAATTATGATCATTGACAAGAAACACCGTGCAACTATGCTGTATCATTTTGTCAGAAGGGAGGAGTGTGCTTAAAATCGACTGACCATGCAATCCTTTGTCAGCATCAAGCCCACTGAAATTGTCTGTTTTAAATGTTCTGCCATTCAACATATTTTGGAAAAGGGAGTTTTCAAAACAGTGTATGTCACTTCCATATAAAAAAAAATAACAGAAGAAAATATGTGTATAAAAAGGACCTTGATTTATATATCTTCTGTTGGTTTTGTTTTCTTTTTCCTTCTCTCCCAGAAAAGGAAGAAGACAGAGGAAAAATAAAAAGCAATGCTGAAACTTACCCAAAATACATCTCTCGTTTTTTCTTTTTTCTTTCCTTCTTTTTTTTCATTTTTTGTTTTATCTTTTCCTTTTGCTCCTTTACTTCCTTTAGTTCCCTTTTTTGAGAATATCACTTACTTTAAAGCATACTTTTGCAAGATGTTAATTTTTTTACACAGCTCTGGGATTTCTTCTTGCCATTCTAAATAATATGAAAGTGTTAACAAGTGTCTGTCTTATAATGTTGCTCAATTTCTTTCTGAAAGACCTGCACAATCAGGTCGTAATATTCTTTGGAAGATATAACATGTTACTAGGACACACACCTTAACATATGTGTTTGCAAGAATTAGTGAAAAAATTTCTATGTAGACTTCATGTGTAGAATCCAGAGCTTTTGTATTCTGTAGCTGATAAAAATCAAACGCGGCATCTTAATAGATGTCTTCTTGCACTTGCTAGCATTATGCCAAACCTTCCCTGAGGGCAAAATTTCCTTTTCAGCAAAACCCACTTTTGACTATTTTTTTTTTCTGGAAAAAGCATGGCAACAGAGTACTGGATGGATACAAAGAAATTTCTTGTGATTTTGTATCTTATTAGCATGTACAGATTGAAAGATCTTTGGAACAGGCTGTTCTTCAGTTTCTGGTTTCAGACAATATGGAGTCCATTGCTGTCCTGCTCTATAACGAAAGCTTTTGGGTTTGGTCATAATAGAGATAATACTCAAGCAGTTACTGTTTTTTCACTGTAAGTTAGTTAGAATGAGTGCTAAATGACCTACCTCCATTTTCAGTCAGCAGATATTTGTTATTTGGGTCTTTAAATAACAACAATTAGGAAAAAGGTAGAAAGGTAAACAGTGTGCCAGATGTGTGATTTTTATTAATGCAATCTATGCTGTGTGCCCTGTGATATGGACAGGTGATACTCATTATGAAAGCAATTAAAGGAATCTAATTTATCCATAGAAAGTCTTCTCTTCATATGTGCTTCCCAAAAAAGTCTCTGAAAGGGTGGCCCAGCCGACAGGCAGAATCCATCCCGTGCTCGTAAAGAGTGCAAACAGAGCTATGAATACATTTCATGGATCAGGTGGGATTTGGGCTGGGGGAACATATAGTATTAGTTAGAATTACAAAGCTACACACAGGATCTTTTTGAAGAACAGTCCCTTGTTTAGATAAGTAAATGCGTTTGTTTCTGAAAATCTGGCCATGTAACTTTAAAGTGTGAAATCCTCCCATCTCTTTTCTTAGAGCAGTTTCACTATAGGGCAAGCTGCTGTCAGAAAGAGCCTTTGGGGATGAAAGCCCAGAAAGAACGCAGTAATATTCAGAAAGGTAGAATGGCAACTGCTGATGTATACGTAGGCTAAATGTGTTGTTGTTTCCCTGGGGCTTGGAAGTTAGCTACTAATCCAGTTTGCTTTGGCATCTTTGGCATTCAGTCTTTTTGTAGATTAATGCATTATGGATGGACACATCAGCAGTGAGGCAAAAAATCTCAGAGAACAACATAAAAGGTTGTATTAGAAATTCTCTGAGCAACAGTAGCTCTGCTTCTCTGCTTATTAATCAAGTATATTTTGAAAAATAAAATAAAATAATAAGCACTGGTTTTTGAGTCTAATGTAAACAATATTGTCTTCCTTGCCCTGTAACATGCAGTGAGTGTTTGGTGGACTAATTGGAATGCATTTTCAAACTGGGATACATTGAATGCAATTATCATACATTACACAGTGAGTTGGACGTAATAAAGGCCCTTAAGTAATGACTTTTCTTTCCTAAAGTACAACTAGACGTGAAATAAATGTCAAATGTCTTTCACATAGAAGAAATTGAGCTGTAAATAAGGCTTATTTTTACCTCTACTGCTCCTGTGTTGCCAGATGGATAGTCTCATGTCTGAAGATCCACTTGGGTACCCAAAGTGTAATGGCCTTATGGCTCTTCATGATATTGGGCAGTAAGGGATAGATACAATTCTCTGAAAAACTTACAGCTCCCAAAGTCATAATGTGTTTTTTCCATCTTCTGCTTCTCCTCAGTGGCTGAGAAGACCAAAGAGCAGGTGTCTAATGTTGGGGGAGCTGTGGTGACAGGAGTGACGGCAGTGGCCCAGAAGACAGTGGAAGGAGCAGGGAACATTGCTGCAGCCACTGGCTTGGTGAAGAAGGATCAGCTGGCCAAACAGGTTTGTTTATTTACAGTCTTTTCCAGGTGAAGTGGTGAACAATGACTGGCCCCTCTGAACTGAACGGCAGACGGAGGGTTTTCTTTTGTGTCCGTCAGTGGTATGAGTGCAGGATGATTTGTGTTACGCTAAACAAATGAACAGCAAATGAAATATCTGCTCTTTATAGCTTGTATTTGGAGTGACCCGCAGGATTTGGGAACTTGAGTAGGATTGGGCATCTAGCTTTACTGTTCTGAAAAGTCTTAACAAATTTGGATCACAGCTTAAAGTGTGATCTAATGGTGATTCAGAACTCAGGAGCCTCTAGTGGGGGCCAGCCGCTGTAGGATCACTGTACAACTGAAGCAGAAGATAACTATTTTTCTGAATACCTCAAGACTGAAAAGCAACCTGCTAGAGCTGAGAGGCCAAACAGCAAATGTCAGGTTTAACAGCACAAGTTGTATCCTCTGCAGATGGAGAGCAGAAGGGTGTACCACTCCACTTAGTTACATTGTGTCTAAAGTCAAGATCTAGCTGCAGAGTCACTGTCTTCCACGAACATAGTGACACAAACTCAAAAATGCCTGCAAACTACTCTGATGTCTTCAGATGAAATTTGCTCTAGCTCATACTGTAAAACACCGTGTTCCAGCACCAAGGTGAAACTGAGGTATTTGCACAATACCAAGTGTTACTACATTTTTGTTGCTGATGCACTGCAGTCATCTTCTTCCACTTACACTGGGATCCCAGATAGCTGGTGGGAATGATGCTTTCCAAAATGTGTATAGTATTTTTTGGAGACAAAAATAACACAGAAGGTACAAATACCTCCTTTTGTACCTTTTTCTATATGAACATTTAAGAGTTAGAAAAGGACTATGAAGAATATTAGTATTGCACAAAAACATGGGTGTCATATGGATTTAGCAAGAAGAAGTTCTATGGTGTATCTTATTTGCAGTTAGTGTCTAGAGAAGCTGTTAAAAGTGAATCCTTAAAAACTCTTCTTCATCCTTACCTGTTATTGAACTGTATTCTTGTCTGACAAATCCTATTGGTGCTTTAGTTTGGGAGGGGAAAAAGGGGCATGACATTGTGGTAGGCATTCACCCCACTGTGGTGGATTGGTCTTGAATAGATCTCACAAGTGCTTTTGTTCTCTTTCAAAGCAGTCTTCCTTGGGGGCTTTTTAGTCCTTTTTTGTTCAACTATAAGTAAAATGTTGCTTTTCATGTGGCCATGGTCCTTTGTAAAAGCTATGTTCAAGAATTACAAAAATGTGTATTTAATAAACGGCCAGCGGATATGCAAGTACAGCATGGCCACAGTAGTCTACACCCTTAGTTTCTGTTAAAGCTCTTTCATAGTTTCATGCTGAGCGTGTTCTTTTCTGTTCATAGCTCTTCAGACTCAGTGTCGTAAGGATCATCGTCTTGATACACAATTACCTACTTTAGTACTGACCATACCTAATATTTTTTTAACTTAAGATTATCATATAGATCCTTATAATTATAAAGTATGAAGCAAACCTCTGCTGACTTTCATTTCATTCTGTTCTGTATATTGTAAAGCTTAAACATGAGTCATGATGTCTGCAACAGAATAAAATCACATCTGTGAAATTAAAGAACATCCATAATGTACACGCATATTATTCCATAGCCCTATAAATAGCATTGTTATTCTGAACTGGTGCTTTGTTCTTTATATATGCAAAACCATTTGTTTGATTCTTGATACTGGTATTTTTAGATTGAGATTCTCAGTCATCTATGCAGCATGGACATCTAGCTGATGGGTATCTGCGGCTCCTAGAAGACTTCTCTGCGTCTCTGTCTCTTACTGGTTTTGCAAGGGATGAGTAGCCATTTCAAAAATGTTAACATCAAAAGTGAGTCATGTAAAGGTATTCCAAAACCTAGTATTTTTGCATTCCTGTGCAGTTTAGAGGCACGAGAGAGATTTTTCACTTGGGTTTTCTGGCAGTTGGGTGAGGACCAGGTGTGGGCATTCAGAATACCAGTGGGACATGAGTCCCTTGTGGGGAACAGGGTAAGTCTTTCTGGAACAAGAGAAGGTGCCAACCAGGCATACAATCAAAATATCAACGTAACTTTGTGCATTTAGCTCTGTAAGGTTATGTCTCTTAAGGCTGTGATATCACTAGTCTGCTAGAAACTGCGAATAAGAGACCACGACTAGCAAATTCATTCCTTGATCTTCAACATGGCTAGTCAGTGCCTTTGGCAAGTTATTCTTCCTATGGACATCTATTTGGAGTTGCCCGAAAAAAAATGACTGTGTATCCCATGTGCAAGATGAACACTTACCTTGCTTACACAGTGTAAGCAAGTCATGAGATTTGACAGGAAACTGCAAATGAAGCATATCCATTGAAAGGGGGTACAAACAGGATTACAGGCTATTTTTCCACAGAAGGCTGAAAGGCATTAGCCAATAATCTGTTATTTTAGTTGGTTTCTAAACTTGTAACAAATTATTTCTTTCAGTTCACATGGACTCGCATAATCGAGTCCAAATCCTCCAACTGAAGGTACCAGTGACCTCCTGAGGCCCCTTCCAACCTGAATGATCCTGTGAACTGCTATAAACTCAACCTCCATGCAGCTGGAGGAATTTGCTTATTTGCCATCAATTGCAGGATCAGGGACTGTGGAATAAATACAGAATCATAGCATATCTCAAGTTGGAAGGGACCCGTAAGGATCATAGTGACCAACTCCCTGCTCCTTGCTGGGATCAGCTGCGTCCAAATATGTGTCTGGAAGCCCATCTAAACTCATGGTAATTGCTGGGATCTGCTACTGGTGATCTGCTCACCTGTGTGAGAGCCTGCAATCTTGCGTGGTGACCAGCATTTATCTTGTGCCATGATGGAAGTCTGGTTTTAACTTTCAACTAATTAAAAGCAGTCATAGTGTTTCTTTACCTGTGGATACATCGATATTTATGCAAAGGAAATACTAAGCAGATTCTTGCTGAAATGCTTTCTCAAGGTTTGTTCGAGGTCACCTAGTGCAACCTTTAATACTGGCATGCTTTGGACCATGAAGCACAGATTTAACGGTGCAACTGAGGCCATGCCAGAGGCTGCTGTCACACCACGCCGTCACCTGCCCACCCCACAGCCAGTGTAAGCGGGCAGTGCAGAGTGACAGCAGAGACTAGTGAGTGACAGGGCTGACTTGATCGTGCTCCTCTGAAGACTGCCCAGGGGATTTATGCTTTGGCAGAAACTCACTGCTTAACACAGCAAGGGTAGTGGCGGTTAGTAGGCTTGAATTAATTACAAAAGGGTTAGCATACAGCAAGCAGCATTTAAATAAATGTCAAAACAATTCTTAAGGTTATTTAGATTCCATAAGTTCTTTTGTGCATTGCCAGCATGCATCTACTCACAAATTATACCTGATGCACACTGGCATTTAGCATACAGCCTATTAAAAATTGATTAACTCTTTATAAACCAGCTGTAAATGAGAACCTGATTTTAAAACCTGCCCGTAATAACACTGTTATTTTAATCATTGGAACTCTTCCTGGAAGCATGAAATAAGTTGCTTCTCTTTTTCATGCTTTCTTCTCTCTGTTGAGAGACAATGATAAGCTGAAGTACTGGGTTATACAGATAAAACATTTGCTTTAAATTTATTGTGTGCCTGTGCATGTTTTATTTCTGTGTACAGTGTGAGTGTGCTTCTAAATTAATCGAGTTAAAAAAAGGAAGATTAATGATAATTGCATTTGCTGTGAAATGAACATGTTTTTCCCGAAGTTAAGAAAGCTGTGAAATCATTTGAATATTCTGTTTTCATCTCTGCATGAACATATAGATCCAGATAGTATGGAGGGCTACTAGCTGGTGAATATCTAGTGTATAACATTGCCTGAGAACAAAATACAGGTTACAAAGTTTATTATTTTCAGATAGGTGATTAACTAATTGAAGTTCTTAACCTCACTGAATTCACATCATTTGGTTCTCTAGCATCTCAAGAATAAACTAGTTGGTAAGTTCTGTGATTTCTGTAGTGAATAATTGTATTTATACTGTTCTAGCACCAAAATCCCCAGTCAAGCTGAAACCTGAAGGTACTTTAAGTACCATGCAAAGTTGTAGTTAGATTTTGTGTGCTGCACATTTTACTAAAGTAAATAGAGTAACAGGCTTAGTCCTTACCATGTTTGGGATCTATAGGATCTATGTGAATCGTGTTTGGTATCTTTATGTGCTAAATCTTTTTGCTTTCTAGAGTGTCTCTTAATTTAGCAAGTTTACAGTTCATAGCACTGTAAACACAAACATAAAATTACAGTACCAGATAACATGTAAGTAGATAATATACTTATAGAGCAGGTAATATAGCTCATTGGTTTAATTACCAAGCTTTCGGAGAAAAAGACGACTGTAAGAGGTAAGACTGTCAATTTAGGCATTAGGCTTTTTTTTTTTTCCATGGAAAATGTTATTTAACAAAAAGCCCTTGTTAATTGCACTTGATATGAAAATTTATATAGAAGAATGAAAGCGATGGCAACTTTGCTATATCTTCTTCCCCCCCTCCCAGCCTGTACTTCCTGGGGCTCCTTAGTATTCAGACACTGTCCTAGCATAAACCTTCCATGCAGTGGACCCCACAGGTGTAGAGTATTTCTTGTCTTATTACTTTTCTTGGCCAGAAGAGCTAGTCTTATGAACAACCATTTTTTTCCACAGACCATTACACATTGCTTAGAGCCAGGGTGAATCCACTTTGGGGAATCATCATGATCAAATATAGCAATATGTAGGAGCCTTTTTCATCCTTTTTACAGGGAAGCAATGAGACATTGTGCACTGCTGAGAATAAAGACCTGATTAAACATCTTTTAATTTTGATGAGATGAGAGCAACTCAGTTTTGATTAAGACACCAAGCATCACAGTGTACTCCAGCCAGGTATTATTTGTTCATTTGGGCAATCTTACTGTGAGAAGGAATGCAAACC